GGGCGACGGCCTTGGTCTGCTGGTGCCAGGGTGGGGCCAGGAGCCTGCACAGTTCGCTCGGGACTTTTGAAACCATTCCAGAAGGACTGCACTAGACGAGGGCTGGGAAAACTGTGGGTGGGATATCTGCTGTTTCTCAATGTGTGATCTTGAAAAGAAAATAAAGAGGCTTCATTGAGAAACTTTCCTGCTGGTGTGTGTCTGTGGAACACCGAACCTTCCACTCATTGCTCTAGAAACAGAAACGATTCATTCGTTTAGGTCTTGCCAAGGAGACACTTGGCATCCCACCATCCATGCTGTTCCCTCCGCTGGCTTTGAAGCTGAAGCACTGGGGCCGGGGCCACGTGGCCACGGGCAGAAACCCGGCAGCCGAGGCCGCACAGGGCGGAGCGGCAGGGCGGTGTCTGTGGATGGGGTTCCCTGAACTGCTGCAGGAAACAGCCGATAATTAAAGCTTCGTGACTGTTTCCGAGAAACAGTTTCCCGGAAGTGGAGTTGCTGGGTCCCGAGCCCCACGGCCAGACCACTCGCCACTAGCCGTCCTTTCTCAGAGACAGTGAGGAAGGAGGGTGTTAAGAAATCTCAGAAGACACGTTTCTGGGACCGGGTGCGGTGAATGAGGCTTGCCCCAAACCCGAAGCCCACAGCGGCTGGGACGGGTACCCTGGCCCGCAAGCCCAGCCAGCCAGTCCCTCCTCCCTCTGCAGAACTCAGGTTGTCCCTCAGACCTGGGGCCTGTGACCCAGGGTGTGACAGACCCGAGACAGCCTGGGCATATGGGGCTTTAGCTGGCAGGGTCTCCAGTGTCCAGAGGGAAGTGGCCCTGCGGCCCTCACCCAGCCCGAGCACCCGCCCACCCCGCCACCCAGAACCTCAGGGGGTCAGAAGGAAGTTGCTGACCTGTCCCCTGAGAGAATAATAGCATTAGTGACAAGGTAGCCTCTGGCAGCTTCATCAGCAGATTCAAAGCTTTGGGCCGAGTAAGCCTTTGGCGTCTGCCCCAGCAGCTGGTGGCCACAGATCGGGAGACGCTCCCACCCCTGTCCTGCTGGGCCGTCATCCTTTCCTGTCGCACAGTCTCGGCTCGGAATGATCGAGGGGGCAGCAGAATGAAGCTAAAATAAACAGAGTAAGCCCGGGCAGGGCAAACCATGTGGGTGCCTTTATTTTCAATGAATTTAAAAAATTTTTGGCCATTCTATCATAATACGCACCCACTATAGAACATTCAGAAAATTTAGACAAGTTACAAAAGGTTCTTGTCCATTGAGTGCCTTGTTATCTAAAAGTAAAGGTGACCTGAAACTCTGAGCCCGGTCCCTGGAATCTTCCAACTAGACTGTGTAGAAGTTGACCTGGAGTGAAGTTCAGTACTCAAATTTGGCCCTGAAGGGGCCTCTGGAAGGAAAGCAGGGCACTGAGGAGTCCAGGCAGGCGGCCAGGGAAGAGGAGCCCTGGACAGGCCTGGAGGGTGGGAGGGGCTGGGCACGCCAGTCGGTAGCAGAGCTGCGGAGAGAAGACCTGGGGGAACCGAGGACCCTCCTTCTCCGCCTGGAAGGTCTTCTCCGATGCCTTCAGCTCCTGCCCCGTGGTTCTCCCATGCACTTGCCGGGAGGAATGAAGTGGGGAGCAGTCCTGGTGCCTATCTTCTCCCAGTCTTTGCCTCCCTGCGGAGGATGTCAGGGAAACCGGATGCCCACACACACACACACACACACACACACACACACACACACACACACAGCAGGCCCGAAGCCCCGCCCCGAGGCTCCTCTCCGCAGCGCTCACTCCCGACCTCTGCCCTCTGACCTGCTTCCACCCGCCTCCTCCCTCTCAGCTGGGACGGGGTCATGCCTTCAGTGCCATCTCCTTTAATCCCAGCACAGCCCCAAGGGGACACTGGTTGACCCAGTTTGGAGATGATGGAAGTGAAACGCAGAGAGGCAGGGCTCTCCCAGGTTCACAGGGCAGGAAGGTGGTGCCGAGTGGAGACGAATGGAGTTCCAGTGTACGGACACTTGGAACTGTGCCCGGCACATAACCATTTCTTAATAAATATTTCCTATTATTCCTATCATTGCTCACATTGGTTTCAAATTAGCAAGAGTCTTCAAAACACCAAAGCCCCTCTCCAGGCCAAAGCCAGCCCCTCTGAGCACGCGGCCACGCCCTGGCTGCCCAGGTGGCAGGCAGCTGCTCCCCCACCAGCTGTATCCGTGCCCTCTGTGACTCCTTTTCATCTCGCAATGTTTAAAGGAATTCCTCTTCCTAAATAGTTTTTAAATGTCTCCTTTGATTTAAAAAAAAAAAAACCGTTTCCTCAATGCCTCCCTTCCTACAAAGCCCTTAGCTCTGTCTCCTTCCTTCTCAGTGAGTCTCTGCTTCCAGCCCCCCCACCCCCCCACCCAGGCTCCCCTCCTCCTCAGAGCCACTGCCAAGGGCGCCTGACTCCTCTGCTCAGGCCAGAGATGTCAGAGTGCCCGCCCGCGGAGGGCTCCTTGGTCGAAAGCAGGGGCTTGGGGATCAGACGCATGTTTGAACCCTGTCTCCAGCCCCAGTCCCGCTCAGCAGCTGTGTGGCCCTGAAGCTTCCCCTCTCTGCAACTCAGTTTCCTCATCTGTGAGTTGAGGCCAATGAGGATAAATTCTTTAGAAGGTTTCTGTGAGTTTTGAACATGATACTGCAAGTGTTTGTGTGTGAACTCTTCCTGACAGCTTTTACTCACGATACAAAAGACCACGCAGGACACTGGGCCGGGTTGAATCCTCCCCTTCCTGTCCTGCGGTGGCCCACGCTGTCCTAATTTCCCCTCTCAGCTCCTTTGCCAGGGGCTCTTCCTGGGCCCAGAGCTGCAGGAGCAGAGGCCCTCACGGAGACTTCGGTGCTCTCCTCCCGACACACACGTGCTCCAGGGGGCCCCAGGCCTGCCCTGCTGCCCATCTCTGTGCGGGCAAGGCGTGCAGGGTTTGTTGGGGCCTGTGGATGGTCCCCCCACCAGGCTCCAGGCGCTGGAAGCTCGGGGCAGAGCCCGGGCAGAGCCCAGGCAGGAGTGTGGTGTGAAGTCAGCAAGGAAGCCAGGAATATGCGCAGGGTCGCCCAAGGAGGGAAGGAGGTCTGCTGGGGCCACAGGGAGGAGGTGACAAGCTCTGAGTTGGGAGGAAGAGGGTGAAGATCTGAGTTCCCAAAGAAGAGGGAGAGAGGAGCTTTGGGAAGGAAAGACTGGTCAGCCAAGTTCAAGGGAAATGCCCTTGGCCTTGGCCTGGGAGGTGAGGTGGAGCTGGAGACCCTGTAGCGGAGGGTCCCGAGCGGCTGCCTGGCAGGAGGGGTAGGTGGAGGGGTGATCACAGACGCAGAGGCCGGTGAGAGGCCTCAGCCCAGGGGCCTCAACCTTTGAAGGCCTCAGAGAGCAGATTACCCTGTGAGGCCCTTCGGGCTGACTCCCTGAGTCCCCGGTAGCACTCCTCTGTCACAGTGAGGATTAACGCCACGTACGTGAGGCCCTGGCCCACCCGTCTGTCCCCTTAGCTCCGCCACCCTCCCAGAAGCTTCCCACTGTGCCCCCTCCTACCTGGGCCCCAAGGCTGAGCCACCCCCTTCCCCTGGCTCACCCCAGAGGTGAGCTCCAGTCTGCTGCGGATGGGGGTCCCCTCCAGCCCAACATGGGGACTTCTGCTCCAGCCTGGGCTCGGGGGCAGGAGTGGGGGAGGGGTGGGGCAGGGAAAGAAAAGTTCGTTTTCTGAGGATTGCTCCATGATCCTCTCAATGCCCTGGAGAAGTAATAACAATAACAACATCCCATAATAGCACCCATCATTGTTTATACTCATACTGAGGGCCTCTGACTACACTGCAGGACGGGTACTTTCGTTACCCCTCTTTACAGACGGGTTAAACCACTTGCTCAGGGATGCACGGCTGGCCTGGGAGGGGGCAGGGATTTGAACTTGGGTCTGTCTCTGTTCTCTCCACCCTCCCTCTGGGGTCTGGTGCTTTGTCCAAGGAGGCAAATTCCTTCTGCCTCCTCCTCTCGTAACCATCACTGGGCTCCTGACTCTGGCTGGGAAGACTGGGCCCGGGGACCGCCGAGGGGCCGGCCCGCCTGGGGCGGCGAGGCCAAGTCAGGGAAGGAAGGGGAGGCCGCCTAGGAGCCTGTGGTCAGGCTCGGGGGCCGTGTCCTCACCCCCTCTTGTCCTGGAGCCCGGCTCCCCAGGTGGGGAGGAAAACCAACTGCGAACTCCTCTTCTGCCGCCCTGCAGGCCTGAAGGCGACCCTCCGCATTGGGCCCCAGGCGTCCCCGCCTCCGAGCCGTCCTCAGACCCTACACCGGGCCCATTCCCGGTGTGATGCTGCGGGGCCTGTGCCGGGTTTCTGGGGAGCGCTAGTCTTTTAGGGGGGCCAGGACCCTCTAGTCCCGACCCCTCAGCAGTCCTGTATCAAGGGAGTGGGGGAGAACCACTGGGGCAAAGAGCTGGCCCAGCCCAGACCCACAGCCGCCACCTCATGCACAGGGCCACATGGAGACACACACGCCTCGGCCACACGCTTGTGCCCAGAAGCTGACTGAGCATCTCAAAAAGAATAAAGTCCTGGAGAAAGTGGAGTCCACACCTCCGTTCAAGACTTGGCACTGGACACTGGAACGAAGGGACCCAGGGACACTGACTGGGCGGCCCGGGGGGCTGGTGTGGGGCCAGCAGGACTGACCGCTCCAGCCACACCTTGGTCATGCTGCAGGTGTGGCCGGTGATCCTCTGGGGAGACGGTAAAGATTAAGAGGATCATAAGCTGCGTCCAGCACTGCCCTGAAAGAAATCTCCCCGAGCCAAAGCCGCTGCCGTGAGGGGACGGTGGGGCAGCTCCTGAGTCAGAGGGAGGGGAAGGGAGGCGGGAAGACAGAGAGTGGAGACCAGGGGGATCTCCGGGACCAGGCAAAGGGAGAAGTCCCGGCAGGCCGCCCTCGGGCGGGAAGGCGGAGGCTGCCCGAGGCCCTGCGGGCTGGGCTCCCACAAGCTCCCACATGGCTGCGGCTGCCTCCAAGAAGGAGTCTCCGGGCAGATGGGACCTGGGAGAGGAGCAGACAGGTACGGCTTTCCTGCAGGTAAGATCTCGGCCCTCGGGGAGCAAAGCTGCACCATGAATAGAGCCAGAGCGACTCAGGACCAGCCTCACCGGAATCCGCTGGCGAACCCAGAATCCTAGAAACATGGGGGTCAGCAGAGGCCGGACAGGACGACCGAGCTGACAAGAAGAGAGAAGCAAGCTTAGGGTTCGTCAGCAGAGGTCCCAGTGGTGTTGTCAGGAACGTTTCTATGGGATAGTGGGGCCGGATGCCGCCCGCAGAAAGAGGGAATGGCAGGCGGGGCGTGGGGGCAGAGCCCACAGGCCTGTTGAAAAGTGGCCGGGGGAGGAGGAGCCCGGGGGGCGGGGCGGTGTGAGGGCAGAAGCTGGGTGGGTGCGGTGGGGCAGGGGTACTAGGAGAGGGGAGACACCTTTCCATCCAGGTGGGAAAGGGGTCCAGAGGGTCCCTGAACAGGAGGAAGGGGTGTGAGAGCTGCCCCGGCCCAGCCTGCCCCCCACCCCCAGGCGCCAGCCGGCCCCTGCAGTGCCGCGTGTGCGGGGACAGCAGCAGCGGGAAGCACTACGGCATCTACGCCTGCAACGGCTGCAGCGGCTTCTTCAAGAGGAGTGTGAGGCGCAGGCTTATCTACAGGTGGGGGGCTGGGCTCTGCCAGGGGGGTCCCGGAGGGCAGGGGTGTTCAGGGAAGAAGTGGCCAGAGCGAACACGGGCAAAGCCCACGGTCCAGCGCCTGAGCCGGACACCGACGCCTGGGCTCCCCTCTGCCTGCAGGTGCCAGGTGGGCGCAGGGATGTGCCCCGTGGACAAGGCCCACCGGAACCAGTGCCAGGCCTGCCGGCTGAGGAAGTGTTTGCAGGCCGGCATGAACCAGGACGGTGAGCCGGTAGTCGACCGAAGAGGGATGGCAGAGAGGTGGGGGCGCGTGGCTGGTGGGGTGTCCTGACCCCTCCTGCCCCCCCAGCTGTGCAGAATGAGCGTCAGCCCCGCAGCACATCCCAGGTCCGCCCTGACGGCACGGAGTCTAACAGGGAGTCCCAGGCGGAGACGCTGGCGGCTCCCCTGGCCCCGGCAAGGCCCAGCCCAGGGGGCACCACCCCTGTGACTGCAGCCAGAGCCCCGGGGCCTGGGACCCTCACACCCCCAGGCCACCACCACTTCCTGGCAAGCCTGATAAAGGCTGAAACCTGCGCTAAGCTGGAGCCAGAGGACGGTGAGTGGGAGAAGAGCCTCTATCCCCACACTCAGGACCCTGTGCACACCAGCCCCGCCCCCCACCCCCCTGCACACCAGACCCCCTCCACCGCGTCCTGCCGAGGAGTAGCGGCTTACGTCACAGCCTCCTCCAACAGCTGATGAGAACATCGATGTCACCAGCAATGACCCCGAGTGCCCCTCGTCCCCATATTCATCGCCCTCCCCCCACGGTCTGGACAGCATCCACGAGACATCAGCTCGCCTGCTCTTCCTGGCCGTCAAGTGGGCCAAGAGCCTGCCTGTGTTCTCCAAGCTGCCCTTCCGGGATCAGGTGCGCCCCTCAGGGAGCCCCTGGAGCCTTGGGGACGGGGGTGGCACGTGCCTCTGAGTCAGTTATGTCAGGATTGTGTGTCTCAGGGGTGTGACTCTTAGTGGTCACATCTTTGGGCAGAGGTTATGGCTGGGGCAAGAACCTAGGAGGCGAGGATGGCCAAGGACACATAGGGACCAGGAATTTGAAGGCTCTCCTGCTAGACAAAACCGCATGTCCTGCGGACACTGTGTGTGACAGGGTGGTCAGCAAACCCCGAGAAGCAGAGTGGGCAGCTGTGGGCTCCCCTGGAGCATAAAGGCCTCTGACTTCAGCACCTGAGTTGCAGCCCAACCGTTTCAACTCTGGGATGCTCCCTGGGCTTCCCACGGGCAAGCTGACCAACCTGTCGTGACAAACCTGGAGAGAGGCACGCGGAGGGTCCGATTGTGCCAGGGTCTGGATCAGAAGTCAGGCCGCGTCTCCCAAGTACACTCCATGTGAGGTGCTCGTCAGGAGTGTCGCCAAGGCCGCCCACCTTCCCCCTGGCCCTAGACTTCCCTAAATGTTCCAGGTGGGGCTCTGGATGGAACCCAGGCCACCGGGCCAGATGGCACCAAATCCCGGAGCTCTGGGACTCTGGCTAACATCAGGAGTCCAGGAGAACATTCTGGGCACCCTAGACCAGCCCTTCCTGTCCTAGGGCACCTGAGAAGGTGGCAGAAGTTGCAGGCCGAGCCTGAGATGCTGGGGATCAGCCCTCGCCCTCCCCCCTGCCCTCTCTGAGCACAGGTGATCCTGCTGGAGGAGGCCTGGAGCGAACTCTTCCTCCTCGGAGCCATACAGTGGTCTCTGCCTCTGGACAGCTGCCCCCTGCTGGCCCCACCTGAGGCTGTGGCTGCGGGCAGCTCCCAGGGCCGGCTGGCGCTGGCCAGTGGGGAGATGCGCTTCCTGCAGGAAACTATCTCACGGTTCCGGGCATTGGCGGTGGACCCCACGGAGTTTGCCTGCATGAAGGCCCTGGTCCTCTTCAAACCAGGTAGCTGAGTCTTTGCCCAACCGGAGAAGTAGTTGGGAATGAAGGATGAGAATTGCGGTGACTTCCTTCTGCCTCTCACTTGTCCTCCAACAACCCACACAGACCCCGATTTGTGCAGACTGCTCCCCTCGGGGGCAGGAGGAGAGAGGCGCAGGCCTGAGTGCACCCCTCCCGAGGGCCCGGCTGACTGTGAGGGGCAGGGCAGGCCAGGACTGGAGTTCACTGCGGCTGCTCCTCTCCAGAAACACAGGGCCTGAAGGATCCTGAGCACGTGGAGGCCTTGCAGGACCAGTCCCAGGTGATGCTGAGCCAGCACTGTGAGGCCCATCACCCTTGCCAACCTGTGAGGTGACTCAAGCACCTGCCTCCCCGCCTGTCTGTCCCTTCACCTCTTCGCTCACCGCCCACCTGTCGGGCTCCATCTCATCAGGTCTGCACTAATTAGACAGGACAAGGGTCCCAGTTCAGCCAGCATCTACTGTGTGCCAGGCACAGTGCAAGGCCCCACGACTGGGGACCAAAATGTGCATGAGACAAAGGTGCTACCTTCCAGGGATGTTGGGCACAGTGACCATACTGAAGGTGGGGACCGACTTGGTCAGGCGTTGGGGGGTGAATGGATCTGCAGGAGGCAGAGACCCACGGGGAGCAAGGTTGTGCAGCAGAACTGCCTGGAACTTTGTAGAGGAAGAGCTGGGCTTGCAAGGCGGGCTAGGGTCTCAAAAAAGAGAAATCATCGTTTACAGAGGGAGAGAGAGGGGCAAACTAGGATGTGTTCTGAGGCTAAGAGCCCAGTTTGGAAGGGGCAACGGGTTGCTTCCCAGGAGAAATTGGGAGATCAGGCAAAAACAGCGCTGCGGACCAGCCTCTTCAGGGCTTGAGAGGCCAGCCAGGCCACATCCGACTGGTAGGCAGAGGGGAGCCTGCAGGGGTGACCTCACAGAGCTGGACTTCATGCGAACAGCGTGGTGGCATGGGCAGAGGACACTGCCATCCCCCAGGGGAGCCCATGGAGTCTGCTTCTGGGGGTGGACAGAAAACAGCAGGAGCGAGTGCCTCCAGGAGTGAGTCAGACTCAGCACTTGGGTGTTGGAAGGGCAGAGGAGCTGTGGCAGAGGAGGTGGTCGTGGAACAGAAAGGGAAGCGAGGAGGCAAAGGTAGTTCTGAGGGAGCATGACCAGTTCTGATGGAGGGACATCTCCTGGGGTCCCGTGCACAGGGCTGTGCACAGGCACAGCCCTGCCCCGGCTGGTCTGGGCACCGGGCCTGCAGGCCGAGTGTGGCTGGGTGAGTGTGGGGGGCAGGAGCGCTGGGCCTCCAGGAATCTCCCGGCCATTTCAGACCATGTTACCTGATTCTCTCGGGGCTCCCAACAGTTCTCTCAAAGAAGTAAGCTAACATGCACACCCTCGAATCACCTCCACTCTGAAAAATGGTCACAAAGAGAGGTAATTTCCCTCAGAGAAGAACCAAAGTGTACTAGGCACATGCTGCATTGCACAGAAAGCTTTCCGCTGCTTATGCGCACAGGAAGAGCACGGTTTCGAGGCCCGACCTAGCAGCCTGCGATGACCATCACACAGAGCAGACAGCAGCAGCTCTCCTCGGCTGCGGTTCTGTTGGGGTCAGCTTCCAGAAAAGTCTGGGCCTGTTGGCTTGCTATCAAATTTCAAAATTCTGGTTGTGATTCCCAACATCATTTCTATGGCAGTTCAGTACCAACTGCGGGCAGAACTGTTGAGAGAGACACTGGAGTTCTCTCTGAGCTGCGGCACGGCGACCGCACTGCCGCTTTTTAAAGCAACACCCGGGAAGAGAGAGTTTCCACCATCACCCAAGATGCACACTGACAGTGAACAAAGTTCCACCGCGTCGCACCTGCCCTTAGCTTGTGTAATTTACTCTGATATTCGTGTGCGTGTGTTTTTAAAAGACTGGTTGTGACCCACCAGTGAGCCGGCGAATTCCTGCAGTGTGAAAAGCTTCTCTACTTGGCCTCACGGTTACTTCGCCCTGACCCTCCTTAGCTCAGAAACACAGAAGTGGGAAGGCACCGGGAGGGGACGACCGCTCAGGGCCACTTGGACGACCGGGAGGCGGGGAGCCTTCCCGCAGGCCCCACAGAGGAAGCTGAGCGTGCAGTGGCCTGGCTTGGGAGTGGCCTTATCACAGGCACCAACCCAACGAGGGTCCAGCCCATCCCTCCATCTGTCCCTTGGGGCTTTCACCCCCCACCATCTCTGCACTGTTTCTTCCCTGCTTGGCAAAAGGCTCTTATTTAAGACTATGATTACTTGTTTTCTGGATGAGTATCTCAGCCACAAATGATTCTTTCAGAACATTTTCACTAATGGCATATCATCCTAGGTGGCTTACAGCAGGGAGCTTACATTCTTTTCAAATATATGTAGTATTAATGATCGGAATTGCACATATTATTAACGTGAGGAATGTATCACTTTATAATCTTTACACATAACAAACTATTTCCACCACACTCCTCAACTAAATATATTGGAGGGGGCCACCTGGGCCAGGGGCAGGGCGAGGCAACCTCTCCAGTGAAGGGGGCCTTTCCCCGAATTCCCCTTACCCACCCCTGGCCCTCCCACCCCCCTCCTCGCCTCCCCACCCCATTGCTAGGAGGCACCGGAGCTCAGACGCTGCCGACAGAACTGACGGTGCCCTCTCTCCCGTTCAGGTTTGGGAAATTGCTCCTCCTCCTCCCATCTCTGAGGTTTATCACCTCCGAACGCGTGGAGCTCCTCTTTTTCCGCAAGACCATAGGGAACACTCCGATGGAGAAGCTCCTTTGTGACATGTTCAAAAACTAATGCAGGTGGAGCTATATGGGTACAGCCACTTTGGAAAACCATCTACCGAAGCAAAACCTTTGCCTGCCCTGTGACTCGGTAATTCCACCTGCACCCAGCAGAACTGTCCACCGAAATCTAAGGATAGCTATGGCAGCTTTATTCGTAGTAGCCCAAACTGTACATTGCCTGTAGAATGGATTAGCAAATTGTAGTATAGTCGTATAATGGAAAACAGAAATAAAAAAGAATAAGCCACCAATACATGTGAAAACATGGATAAGTTTCACAGACGTAAGAGCGGAACAGAAGCAGCCAGGAAGAAGTCCCGCTCCAGTTCCAGGACCGGTGAGGCTGACTGGCAGAGCCCACGGCCGCAAGGGCGGTACCCTGGGATGGGCGGCTTCTGGTGTGTTAGAGGTGGTCTTTATTTTGGTCTGGGAGGTGGTTTCACAGATCTATTCCTTTGTAAAAATTATTTAAGCTGTGCCCTTAAGATCTGTGGACATCACTGTTTTATATTGGACCTCAAAGAAAAAGTGAAAACACAAGCACGGAAAAGGAATGTGGCCAGGGCCCCCTCCCTTTGAGGCTTCCACACAGGGAGGCTCCCGGCCCGAGTCAGCGCCCAGGTGTGGCGAGCTCAAGGCCCGAGAAAAATCCCCCACAGGATCCAACAGCCCAGCTGCCCCCCGATGGCCTCTCGCCCTCCCATGGCTTCTCTTTCTCCTTCTTACCCTTCCTCACTGCTCCATAAACAAAGGTGAGAACCATCCATCTCAACACAAGGCAGGCATAGGCACTTTTTGTGAAAGGGAATCGCCATCATTTCTTAATTCCTTATGAAGGGTGAAGTTCAGACGAATCTCATACCCTTTTCAAGGACAGACCCAGGAGACTTGGAAAGAACAGTAATAAAAAGTTAACATGTATCAGGCACTTCATGCATGGGCTCCAATGAAGGGAGTGCTGATCATGCACTGTTACTTAATCCTCCCATCCGCTCTGGGGGAGGGGCCAATCATCCCCATTTATAAATGAAAAAACTGGGACCTTAGAGAGGACTGAAACCCTGCTGCCACCCTACCTAACTAGCTCAACTCTGGCACTGCCTCCCCGCCGTGCCCCCCTACCCCTGGAATCCACCAAATGGTCTGCTGCATTTTCTGTCTTCAAAGAAGAAATGTTCGAAGGCAAGAAGGAAAAGGTCATGTGAGAAGTCTGTGAAATCCTTGGGGTTCCCCTGCCCTGTAGCCTGTGTACGGATTCTCCTGGCTGGCAGAGATAGCCTGCCCTGACAGAGGAAGACAGAACACTCTGCTTTGGAAATGACAATAGCGAGGTCGTTGCCCAGAGGGGAGAGAGTATGGCAAATCCCATCTAGTTTAAGTCCTTCCCGACTAAACACTCAAATACTTGAGACTCTTCATCTAAAAGCATGAGACTTGCCTCAGTTACTTGGGTCATTTAATGTCTATACCATTACACTGAAGACCTATGTATAGAAAGCCTGAGCAAAGGAACTTCAGCAAGAAGCATGGCTGAGATGTCGCCAGATAGGCACATTTATCCTACAGCCTCGCTTTTGAGAACTTAAGACTGCAAAAGCCACCTGCTGAAATCCACAAAGGGTGTGTGTGGGGGGTGTGGCACAGCAGGTGTGTGTCATGAGAGAGATTGTCTGGGACCTCCAGGAGGAAGTCTGGGAGAGTTAGAGGAGGTATAGGTTGGATTGCCTGCGGTCAACCTGGTGTCAGTACCACCCTCTTCTACAGTGCTGTGTTCACTGTAGACTCCAAGAACTACATTTCCCAGGATCCCTTTCCCCACGACTGCTAAGGGGAGGCAGACGCCCTTATTCATCTGAGGCAGATACAGCTGAGTGTGTGGGAAGAGACTGCGGGGGTGTGTGTGTGTGTGGGGGGGCCTTCTCAGGAACTGCAGTGGCCTCCAGGCAAGCTTCTGGGAACTTTGGAACTTTCGGCTGAGATCTGTGTTGTCATTCTTGACCTGTGCTTTCCCAGTTCTTCCAATGTTTATGTTAAGTCCCTAATTCCTATGTTAAGTCCTTCTCACTTGGACTATATGGAGAGGCCTCTGTTTTCCTAATACAATGCAGCTCTCAGTGGACCCCAGGATTTATTCAACATTTCACCGCAGACTGGCCCCACTGACATGCGGATGGGTAACAGCTCTCACTGCATTTAAGGCCCTTGCTGTACCCTAGGAGAGAGGGTACTGTGAAACCTTTCTTTTTCCCCTCAATGCCCAAAATGTCTTTGGTGATGAAGTAAGCAAGAGGGAGTCTTTGGGGGCCCATCTGGGCCTTTCCTTTCCGTTGCAGTTTTCAGATTCGTGACCTGCTTCTCCTCCATCCGTAAAGGAGTATTTAAAGGTCCAAAGGGCGGAGAAAGACTCAAGGGCTGCCAGGAAACACCCCTCAAACTAATCAACAGCCCGAGAGTGGAACCCAGACGTCAGGGACGACCAGTCTCCAGGTGGCAGACATCATTCCCCCACTTGAATGCAAGCACCACAGGGCCAGGGAGTTACATTCTGGTCACCAGCGTACCCACCAGGACCTGTGGGTGCTCAGCATTTCTTGAATAAATGCATAAATGGCAACACAGTACTGGGAAGTGACACAGTCCTTGACCAGGCATGCGAGACGCCTACAGGACTGAACAGCTGTCACAGGGGCCTCGCCTCCTCTCACAGTTATGGCCCTGGTCTAAGGCACTGTGCTGCTGCCCCATATGTGAGAAAGAACAATTTTTAAAACATCAAAGCTCTGGTCCCTGTGTTTTTTTCCTGGTCTCTTTATAACTTGTAGCTCCTTACACCTTCATGTGCTTGTCTTCACAGAAGGGTTTGTTGTAAATTCAGGTATCACAGAAACAAGTTTTAAAAATGGCATTTCTAGGTCTTATTTGGCAAATTAAGGATATTTAAAGAAACAATTCACTATATGCCTATTTTGATGTAATTTAATGCAAAAATGTAAATTAAAACTTTACAAAGGATAATCTTCAGAGTCTAAAAACTGAATGAGTATACTGGTAGGGCAAAATGCAGAGTTGTTGTTGTTTTCAATTGCACCTTAGACTTGGTTTGGCACTTGGGAACCCCTGACCTCACACTCATCCGATATCCAAGTGCTGGCCCCTTTCGTTAAGTGCTGGTGATCCAAGGGTCTGCACAGCACTGAGTCGTGGTTCTTGCCCTGAGCAGCTTACATGAAGGCTTTCTGATGCCATGAATACTTGGAGTTGTTGAGAACACAAGACATCTAACCAGATTCAAGGGGGAGGAATACATTTCCAAGCAGACCTGAGAGTCAGTAGGAGTTATCCAGAGAAGTAAACCTGGGGAGGAGAACTCACTTCCATCTAGGAAAACTAACCTCTAGGAAGGGCGAATGACTTTGCCAAAGGGACGGGAGGTCGTGGCAGAACAAAAACGGCAAATGAGGCTTGAATTCCTGGGCCCTCTATTAGCAGACATTGCTACTTCCTCATGGCCTTTTTGGTTAGGACCCTAATGTACACTGCCTTCCCTGGCCAGCCAGCTCTAAGTGCATCCAGTGAAGCCTCGACCGCTAACAGGTAGCATCCAGTACGGAAAACTGACAGCTTAAATCTCACCTTTCCTTGAACTCAACTGAACTCCAATAACTACTACTCCTGCACTTTGCCCATTGTGGGCTCAGTCCTTTCCTGTAAAAAAATCAGCTTAACCAGTAAAAATCATTGTTGTTCCTTGGGATCAGGCTGCAGCGCCCCGGGGTGGGAGCCAGGCTAGTCAGAAAATAAACCACACGTATTGCGGCTTCTGGAAGCTTTTGTTCTTTAATGAGCCATTGGAGTGATTTGTTCAAGCTGCTTGTGTAACCATACAGTGCATACTGTGAGTGATACAGACGGGACTTTATACAGACGATGTCTTGCTTCCCGACAGCCCCCCCCAAAAAACAAAAAGAAATTACAAAGTGCCTGTTGGTTGTTACCAGGAAGTAATCAGTTCCATGGGTGAGATAAATCATTCTTCTTTGAGAATTATTCTGTTGAACAGTAAAATATTGTATTTCACAGGATATGTCCTTTTACAATACATAGTCATTTAAAAATTTACACTCAGCATACTTATAAATTATTTAAATCCATTAAAATAACACTAATCTGTAGTACACACCTTTCTTTGCCCTAGTAAATACGTGTTCAAAAGGTGCAACTTTAACATGGCCTAAGAAGGCTAAGAAACAGGGATTCAATGTGGATGGACAGCAAGGTGACGGCCCCTCAGTGGAGATTTTTTTGAAAAGTTTCAACCAGGAGACCAATAAAACCAAGTAGATCATGCCCACACTCATCATTCCGCTGTCACCATTTCATACCAGATCAAATGTGGGAGTGGTTCCAGAGAAAAGTGGTTAAAAGTGTTTTAGGGGCGTAGAAAGAGGACTCCCATAAATACCAAGAAATTTTACCACCAGGGTAGTGTGGCGCTGAGGGGCAGTGTAGGAGAGCTGTCACAAAATTACGGGTGACGTGACGTGTTTGTCAACACAGAAGGATGCATGCCCACGTCCAGCTCCCCATCCAGGGAAAAAAAGGAGGGGAGAGAAGGATGAGAAAAGCAGTCTGGACTGTGTTTCTTTTTTAAATTAAAACTCTCATAGCTTTGAACGCATACTGAGAACATTTTCTTCTCTCTAGTTCACCAAAGTGAACTAGAAATGTACACATTCATTAGTTTTGAGTTTAAAAAACCAAGACCCACAGGCCCTGAAGTGGGCCTGTGGCTCCTGGCTGGACCTCCTCTTTTCAGCAAGTCTCTGGGATCCTCTGTCTGTGACCGTGAAAGCAACCCCATCGTGATAGAACGAAGAAGTCTCCGCTCACCTTCCAGCAGAGGTTAGTGAAGAGCTGCGGCTGGTTTCTTAGGAGTGAGAAGGCGGCGGGGATCCAGCACCCCATTCCCTGACCTCAGGTCCCACTGCCTCTGCGAGGCTCCTGCAGGAAAGGTGGTATCTCCCTTTGTGCTTTCAGAAGCCCCGAGTAGCAAAAACATTCAACTGGCGGAAGTACAAAGTACATTACAAACTAAGCACGTCACCTCCCTGAACCCTCCCTGTATCTGCTGTTAAAGTCATTCGCTTCATTTTGTGATACCCAATGTGACCCCAAATTAGACTTCTCTGCTGCCATCACATTTTTCATGATGAGGAGCGTGGTGGCTTTAAATGGGGAGAATTGAAATCCGGGCTTTGTCTGGGACTGGGAAGGTGTGATAGGAACAGAATGGGCTTCATTTTGGAAGATGAGCTCCGAGTGTGGGGCTGCCCAGCTGCTGCTGTACAGGCGTTTGTCTGAGATCAAAGAGAACAGGCAAAGGAGGAGCCGTGGAAGTACAGAGGTGACACACACTGAGGTCAAACAGCTCAGTCGTAAGTGACTGCAATGCACGCAGCTCACTTTGTGGTGACATAACCCGAACCAGGAAGAGGATCGGTGCAGATCGAGTGGAAGGAGACGCAGCACTCGACTCTGACAGTTTTTAAGACTTACGGTGTCACCTCTTTCTCAGGCCAACAATACCTATCGCCTCACAAGACATGGCTGTCCTTCCTTCAGAGGGAGGGCCCCACACTCGTCCCCATGCCTGCCACTGCCCACATCTCTCCTCCCCATCGCCCCCCACTCTGGCAGCTTGTTAAATGACTAGAAATCCACAAATCTAGTAACTGAAAAACATGTATTTTTTTATTTAATTTTATCGAAAATCAGGTTTCAGGTCCCTGAGAAAAATTATAAAGTCTCTTAACATCTTAACATCCGTTGCCGAGTTCTATAAAGTGTCCTATATGAGTAGTTTTTTTTGACTGCCAAAAACTTATTCTGCAAACAGTAACGACAGAAGGACCCACAAAGGTTTAGAAGGAGAACACATGCCAGGACGTGTCCTCCAAGCCAGTCGGCCACCAGGGTGCCCCCTCCTCGTGCGGCACTGACCGGTGCCCAGCAGCAGCGGAGCACTGAACCCCCAGAGACACCGGGCCAGACGGCGGATGGCAGGGCTGGGGCAGCAGCAACCCCTCCTTGACGCAACCATGCTGAGGGACTGGGTTTTCCTCCAGATTTTCCCAAAGTCAGATTTTTAAAGGCTTTACATTTACACTCCTTAGGACGGCATGCAAGGTGGCAGACATTTGCAGGATTTAAAATGAAATATTTACTCACTATCATCATTCCGGAGATGTATAAAGATTCCTTTCCCCAGCACATTTTGGAACCCAAACCCAGGACAGGTAAGACTCCTTCCTGCTACACCTTTAGCTGCCACTCAGAACGATGTCCTAAGTCTCAGCTCCGGGGCTCGACAACCACTTAAGCAGTGGCATGAGGTTCAGTGTTGTGTAACAGGAAGAGACTCCGCCTTGACATAAATCTTAGTATTTCCATAATTTCTAATCAAAGAAGCATGAATAACCAAAATTCAGGTTACAGATGGTAAAGGCTCTTTTTTAGAACAGTGCACGTGGTAGTTAGACAAGATGCATTTAGTAACTTTAAAAATAAACATTTTCACATACATATGTCAAGAAAGGGTATCATGTTTCATTTTCCATATATTATAAATAGCAAAAACAGATTTCTAATCCCCCAGATGCTAAGAAGCTTAAAATGCTATTACAGCTCAGGTGTGTGGAGACACCTAGTGGTGAAAGATGGTCTGACTTATCCCTCAACCCAGGGACGCGTGGCTCTCACCTCCCTGCTCAACGATCCCTAATCTGGGGTAAGAAATTCCGTGGGAGGGGGGAAGCATAAGGTTAAAAAGAAATATGCATATTGTACATAAATATTTACATTAAACTTCAGTAACCAGAATATTAACAAAAGTAGCTTCAAGTAGTCCTTGATATTTAAAAAAAATCTAATACTGATGGTCTGAGGAAAAGAAGACAGAAGTTAGTTGGATCATCTGAAAACCTTTTCTCTTCTTTTTTGGCAGCTTTTCTGTAACACTTATGCATGCAGTATTGTGTGCGAATGTTCTGGGAGAAGTGCTTAAATGGTCAACTCATTTGTCTTGAGTTTGTGGTTGAAATCTACCAGCAGCTGGATATGTGATCTTCAGTTTAATCTATACAAAGAGAAAAGCCTTGGATGGATTAGGGTGAAACCCTCATGTTTAGGGATCACCCTGTCTCTGGGACATTTGAAAAAAATAGAGAAACCTGATCCTGGGACCAGGGAGTAGAGAACAGTGTGGCTACTGGAACTTCAGCCCATGCAATATATTTGGCAGAAACTAACGAGGAGTTCAACCAGCGTCGATTATTATTACAACATCACCAAAGAACAAAACATTACTCTCTTCCTCACTGTAACCAGAGGTCTGGGACGAGCTCGGATGGAAACAACTGGTTTTTTTTTCCACTTTCCCCAGAATAGAACATGAAGTGTTATTCAAACATCTTAAAATAGAAGGCTCAGGCTTTTTGTTTATAAATTCTTGGAAAAGAAGTATATTCTACCCCAGCTCCTCACTATCCCAAAATAAACCCAACAGCTTTTGCTTTCATGGTTAAGAAAGATTTGTATGTTTTCTTCATATGTCAGAAATCAGTGGGTCCCTCAGGCCCACAGTGTGTGCCCCAGTTCCACACCCACCTCTGGAAAGGGAAGAGAGGATGGAAGAGAGGTGACTACACAGGCCTCCACAACTGACCCAAATCCTCGGGCCCGGGCCAAGGGGCTTCATTAGTGGAATCTCTAGTCTAATACAGCAGCCAAGGCACGGTTGGCTCCATCCCCAGCAGGCTTCCGAGAGGCCTTTCCACTTCACCGTGAGGCCCAGGAACTCAGCGCACCAGGTCTCACTGGCATGCTTGGGCGAGAGGCAGGGCCTCGTTCAGGGTGGACTCTTGTGGACGAGGTGATGCGCAGGGACCCTAAAGATGAGATGTGTTCACCACTCTGCGGCCATGAAGGGACACGTGTCTGCCAGTTCAGACCATGAACTCATTATTTCCAAAGAGAGCTGGCTGTTGGGCGGAGCTGCAGTCCAGGTCCGCAGTCTTCCTGCGGCTGGACACCGCTGTCCCCTCTGGGGTCTCTTTGGTTTTCTGAGGTGAGCTTTTCACATTCTTTAATTTTTGTTTGCCCTTTTCAGGGTTGAAGGTTCCTCTGCTGATGAACTGAGGCTTGTCTTCCAGGGTTTTGGTCTGGCCCAGTGGGCCCTCCACTCCCACGGCCTCCCCAGCAGAGGCAGCTCGGTAGAACGGAGATTTGGAATAAATCTGGAATCGTTTTCTGGTCCCGTGAGAAGATGCGGTGTTAGATGAACAGAAAGAAGACACCGAAGAGTCCACTGAATCTAAAGAGTCGTGCTGCTTTCTTAGCTGCTTTCTCAACTTGCCAGAAGGCTCAGGCTTGCCAGCTGCCTTCAGGGTGCTAAGGGTTAAGCTTCTCTCTAACACAGAAAAGAGACCAAAGCTGTAAATGGCAGTTCCCTCTGAAGCAAATTTTCATCTAAGGAGTGTCACTATTTACATGTGAAATTAAATAGAATAGGATTTGGAGGTGCACACGCACAGCTTGAGAAGAGCTCACCACCCATTTCTACGTATACCAATTCAGAGCCAGCCCACGGGGCCTGGAGTTTGGCTGTGCCGTTAGGAGAGGCCCGCAGCTGTCGCTGTCACATGAAAAACTACCCACCCTTAGAAAATGGGTCGTGGGCCAGTAAGACAATATTACTGTGATCATAGGCTTTTCTCTGTGGTAAAGTGAATGTATGAGAAAACATTAAGTTACTAAAAAGCCGCATTGAAGGTTTCATCTAATAAACAATTTACATGAAAGCCTCACAAGATCAGTATATTTGAACTCCTTAGGACCCTGTCACCTTTTCACGTAAGGTCAAGGCATTCTGGAAAGGGACTTTGTCTTAGTTTGGGAATCCTTAATCCTCCTTTGTACTAACGTGTTCATTTACCTGATTTCTCAGGGACTGCACCTTCAGACTCAATGTTCAAGTTCTCTGAGCTATCGGCAGTCCCAATGGAGGCCTCAGACTCAAGGGTTTCATCATCAGAAGCACGGGGTTCCAGTACAAGCATCTCAAATGTTAGCTCCTCCCTGTAAGATACAATTAAGAAATCCATTAGTATTTGATAAGTGGAGGGAAGCCAAGAGGGGAAAAGACCTTCCACAAAAGTCAGAAACTGAAGTAGCAAAAAGTCCCACTGTTAGCAGTCCCCTGCGGGGTGGCGGCAAGGACCCGCACACTACAGTGATGCTGAAGGCTGACACTGCATGTACTAGGGCAGGGCTGTCAAACTCGGTTTCACCGGGGGCCACATCAGCCTCTCGGCCTTCAAAGGGCTGAATATAATTTTAGGGCTGTATAAATGTAACTGCTCCTTAACAGCTAAGCAAGAGCTCAGTGCCACCACTGGGTAGAAACAAAGTGCTAGGCCGGATAAAAAACAAGCTGGAGGGCCAGATTTGGCCTGCAGGCCTTGTGTTTGTCACCTGTGTACTAAAGACAAAATGACAACAAAGGCTGGGCCTACAGAAGGGCCAAGGGTGAGGGTGGGAAAGAGGCCAAAGCTGTAAGGTATTTTGGTAAAATGAATTCTGGGCTAATCAGATTGGTGTTCTAAACCCACTCTCATTCAGAAGTCTCTGGAAGGAACCTTCCTCTCTATGGACCTCAGCTTCCTCATCCACAAAACAAAGAGATTAGCCTAGATAATCTCTAAGATTCCTTCCAACTCTTCAACTATTCTCCATGAAACTTGACTAACTGGCTACAGACTATATTCTCTGCCTTGACCACAGGGAGACCTCTGGATGAAGTAACACAGATTGAGCTCTTCTGCCCTTGAAACTCATGCCATCTCCACTTACTGAATGTTCTACTCCTCCTCCTCAATCAGCCGGCTACTTCAGTCATGCCCCTTACTCCCTTCAGTCTTCGGTACTTGGTTCCTATTTTGCTTTTCTCGCTAGTGCCTGACATCACCCTAATCTATTTCAATCAATATCTTTTTAACAGCTCACCTCAGTACCCTAACACCAGAGTTCCTTTATGTCTGCAACTTCTAATAACCTTTCCTCCACTTTATACAGGCAACTTTCTCCAATGAGCAGATCCTAGGGTGCATCATTACCTGGAAATATACCAGTTCTGAATCCAATACTCTACCTGCCCACAACTTCCTCATCCAATTCTTCCTCCCTTTGTTGTCTCCTCCCTTTCCAACCCCTCTAAGCTTCACTTCCACAACCTAGCTTAGACAATCTTTTCAAAGATAATGTCAGAGAAGCTCATTGCTGCAATTACCACTGTCATAAGCCATGTGTATTAACAACTCCGAGGCTGTTCATGGCTTTTCCTTTCTTTAGAAAGATTTCCCCCTTCCTACAAATTCTTCCTTCAATGCCTCTAATACCATTTTCATCAGAGCTGAGTTAGGTGCTCTTTTTGGGTAATTTTCTATCAAATAACACAGTCCACGTGCACCTGCCACTTCTGCCTCACTGTGAGCTCCAGTTGCTTTTTTTTTTCAGCTTGCCTAAATTCTAGAATCAATCCTGACAGGCAAACAGTACTTTCACAGGCTCATATCCCCACATGAATCGAGCTCTCAGATCTGGGATCCTGGAACTGAGGAACAGAAACCCCCACGAAATTTAGAGTCATCATCATCGTCAATTAGAATCAGTATATGGTACCTTCAGAAAGAACAATGTGATGCTCACGTTCCCCCCAAGATGTTTGTTACCTACCTCTGCTCTAGTTATGGTAAAGGTTACCCACCTTTGCTGCTTATCTGCCCGTATCCTGAATTACAACCACTTTCCTACCCATCATCCTAGCACCCATTAGAGTTGCTACCCTACTCTGACCATCTAGTTGCTGGTCCCGAGGGTATACTGATCCTCAGATAATATCCTTCCTTCATGGAGTTCTGAATAACGCCCATTCTTGGAAGGGACTTTGTCTTAGCCTGGGAATCCTTATTACTCTTTTTTAAGACAAATCTGTTCCATGTAGCTGGTCTCTGATCTGTCTGTTAGGAATCCTGGCCGAGATTTCCTTGATCCACCCTGTTCCAGTCAACCTGTTTAGAGTCATCACCGTAGCAGCTTCAGGTCTCCCTGCTAACCGAGCTTCCTTCCCTGAGGTGCCAACGTGTCCCCTCTACATCCCCTGTGCCGCCTGACACACGGGAGAGGTCGGGTGCACTCACTTCTCCTTCTGCAGGCTCTCAATCTGCTCAGCGAGCACCCTCTCCTCCTGCTGCATGGCCGCACGCTGCTGCTCCGTCACGTCCGTCTCCGTGGCTGCATCACCAGTCAAGGCCTCTTCTGGGGCATCGGACACGGGGGGCAACCCCACGGCAACAGGAGAGGATGGACTTGGACAGTTTCCTCGACGAAGACGCCCCTTTCCCTGCAAAGAAAAACACATGTTATAAAGTATATTGTGTGACTGTATCAGTTTTTACATGGCCCATTTAGGGTAATAAGAGTCCTTCCATCACACCAGATGAATGGTAGAAGTAAATGGAAACATTCTGCCAGGCCTAAGACATTTAGTGCGGTATCATCCAGCAAATATATTTAGGTTGATTATTTCTGGCAAGAGCACTGGGAAATAGGCACTTCAGTGGGTTGGAGTGAAAAGGACACACTGTGTACGAGGATGAAATTCTTCTTTTCCTCTAAACTGCATCCACTCCAAACTAAATATGCACACATGGCTATTTAAATTTAAACCAACTAAAGTTAAATAAGTAAAATTTTAGTTCTGCATTCGCAGTAGCCATATTTCAAGTTCGCAATAGTCACAGTTGGCTAGCAGCTACCATATTGAACAGTGCAAACAAAACATTTCTATTATCACACAAAGTTCTGACAGACAACACTGGTCTTTAAAGAACACAATCTCTCTAGGAAGAGTACAGATAGATGCCCTGAAACTCAGTTTCCTTAAAAAAGTTAAAAAAGAAAACATGTCTATATCACAGGTGCTAGTGAAAGATATTCTCTGAGAACAACTCAAGAAACTTTCTTGAGATCAGAGGGGAAAAAATCTTACTGCTTTTAAATTGACTATGTATAACTTTAGTTTCTGATAATGCAGACTAGGTATTTCAGATCAAACCTCCTGCTGAGAACAACTAGAACAAACATAAAAAAAACAATAGATACTTAAAGGCACTAGAAAGCTAACAAGGAGGCTAGGCCAGCACTGAGGGCTGATCTAAATTTAAGAGGTTGCTGAGAGTCTGAGCAGAGCTTCTCACAGACTTTATCAGGGGTCAGCAAACTATGGCTCATAAGCCAAATCTGGCCTTGTAAATAAAGTTTTACTGGAATACATTCATGCTCATTAATTCACGCATTGTCTACGGGTCTTCTGTAGAACAATGGTAGCGTTAATTGTTGCAACCAAGACTGTATGGTCTACAAAGCTTAAAATATTTACTCTCTTGCCCTTTACAGAAAGAGTTGGCTAACCTCTGGGGTAGAGAATACAAGTGGGAGTCCAGACCAATACAAGGGTGTGGGCTGCGGCCTGGCAAAACTTCCATGCCTGACGCTAGGATCTCCAAGGTTTGTATCCTACACTTAAGGCTAAACTGAAATTATAATAGTCCTTGCAGACTCTGTAGCCTAGCATCTGAATGGTACAGAAAACTGTAATCCTTAGAATTGGATTAAAGTAATCCCAGATGGCTAGTACCCTAGGACCTACCTGAAAAATGAAAAATATTCTTTGGAGGAAAGTAACATTGTCTCAGGCCTCAAAATATTTTTACAAATATTTTTTCAAATACTGTGTCTGAATACAAACAAAGGTGACCAAGCACAAAAGGAGACAAGACAATGTAAATGAAAATCAGTAAAAACAACAGAAACCAGAAACCCTAGACACTGTGGCTATAAGACAGGCTTAATATAACCATTCTGAAGGAGACAGAAAGATACTGTTGAATTAGTGGACCAGAAGTTAGGTCAGAAGAAAATATAAGAATCAAGCAGGGAAAACAAACAAAACAAAAAATTTTCTGAAATAATTCAGAAAAGTCCCTGACTGCCCTGGGAACCAAAGGGTCACCAGTTCGATTCCCAGTCAGGTCACATGTCTGGGTTGTGGGCCAGGTCCCCAGGTGGGGGCGTGCAAGAGGCAACAGATAGATGAGTCTGTCCCATGTTTCTTTCCTTCTTTCTCCCTCCCTTCCCCTCTCTCTAAAAATAAATAAATAAAACATTTAAAAAAATAAAAAGAATCATCCAATGAATATATAAATGGAACAACAAATCCATGTTTCTCTCTCCCCCTTCTGTCACTCTAAAATCAATAAAGTTTTCTAAAAAAAGACTTAAAAAACTATACTGAAGTCTATAAGGGATGCATATAAAAAATAAAAATTCAGAAAGGCAGAGAGAGAGTAAAAGGATAGGAATAAAGGATATATACCATGTCTAGTCAAAAGAGAACTGGGATAGTTATATTAATCCTAGACAAAGTAAACTTTAGGTCAGGAGTGTTAGACTGGTTGAAGAGAGGTATTTCACAAAGATAACAGTTCAAATTATGAAGAAGGTATAACATTTTCAAATCTGTAAGTACCTAAGAAATGGCTTCAGAAATTTAAAGTAAACTACTCAAAGTAGACAAAACTATAACCAGCAGAGAAAACAACTGTGTACGCAGACAAATCAGTAAAGCCATGAAGCTGAACAACTTAAACATAACTGATAATAACAGACATATACAGAATTCAGTGTCTAACAACTACAGAACACTCATTATTTTAAAGCACAGAGAGCAAAGATAATACATTTCCTAGGGCTGAAGTAATTGATCTGACCTTTCAAGTAATTTAAAGTAAGTTTACTGACAGTGCAGTTACAAAGAGAAAACACAAACAACTAAACATTAAGAAATTAAGAAACAGACTTCTAACACACTCACGGCTAAAGAAGAAATCACAATGGAAATTAGAAAACATTTTGAACTAAACAACAATATCAAAGTCTGTGGGATACAGTTTAACTCTGCCTACCCTAAAGTTACAGCTTTATGTGTATATAGTAGAAAAGGTTAAAAATTAAAGTAAAATTTTTTTCAGGAAACTAAATAAGACACAATACAATAAAGCCAAGGAAAGAAAATGAAATACACACAGAGTACATAAACATTAGAAAAGAGAAAATTAAATTCAAAATGTGGTTCTTTGAAAAGACTGATAAAAAAATTAAAACCCTGGCAAGACTGATGAGGATTAAAAGAGAGAATTCACTAGTAACCAACAGCAGATATGAAATAAGGACCATCACCACAAATCTTGTAGACATAAAAAGGATGAGGCTACTATGTCAATAAATCTGAAATTTTATACAAAGTGCAGAAATATCTACAGAAATCCAAGTAAGTAATACAATCAAAAAAAGAAATACAAAAAAGTGAATAATCTTGAATCCATAACTGCAAACCTTCCAGAGAGGAAACTCTAGGTATGACTTCACTAGCAAACAAGAAACAACACAGAAATCACACAAATTCTTCCACAGAATTAATAAAAGGGCTATTCCCCACTTCATTTCTAGAAACCAACATAACCTTGATATCAAGGAATAACATGTGCATAAACACAGGTGCAAAAAAATCCTAAACAACTTGTAAGCATCATGTAACAAGGGTGTCACCTCATGACTAAGTTGGATTTACTGCAGTAGTATAGTGATAGTTAAACATTAGAAAATCATCTGGTGTAATATGTCATAACAATAAAATAAGTCTCATGAATATCTCAATGCATGCAGTAAAGGCACTTCATAACATTCAACAATAAATTATCACAATTCACAGAAAACTAGGAACAGAAGCGAACATACTTAAATTTCACAAAGCAGTGACACAAATTCTATAGTAAACATTGTATTTAACAGTAAAAGGTTCAAAGCTTTCCCTCTGAGACTGGGCAATGCAAAGGATGACCCCACCAACATCACACCACTTCCTTCCAACACTGTACGGGAGGTTCTAGCTGGCGTAAGAAAAAGAAATCAATTGCCTAAGGCTGACAGAAGAACAACTGAAACTATTACTACCCATATACAGTACAGCTAGAAAACAGGAAGTATGAAGGAATCACAGAAAACTTATTCATATAAGTGAGTTCAGCAAAGTTGCTGGATTCAAGGTGAAAAACACCAAAATCAAATGTATTTTTATTTAAGGAGCAATAAAGAGAATATAAAAATTTTCAAATAACATTTATAATTGCATTAAAATATTAAAATCCTGGTAATAATTCAAACTAAAGATGTGTAAGATCTCTACACATAAAACACTTTGAGAGGAATTAATGATCTACACAAATGGAGAGAGGTATCATGTTCACGGATGGAAAGAATCAATATTGTAAAAATGTCAACATTCCCTAAAGTGATTTATAAATTTAATGTAATCTCAATAAAACTTTTTGTAAATCCCCCAAACTTTTTGTAATCCCCCAAAACTTTTTGTAAATTCTATAGTTTAGTGATTCTGTAATTTTAAAGAATGTTTATTGATTTTAGATTTTAATTATTTATTCTTTTTTAGAGAGTGAGGAAGGGGGGAGGAGAGGGAAACATCAATGTGGGAGAGAAACATCGATCGGTTGCGTCTTGGTACGCTCATGTCTGGGGACCAATCCCACAACCCAGGCATGTGCCCTGACCAGGGATCAAGCCAATGACCTTTCACTCTGCAGGAAGACATCCAACCGAGCCACACCAGTCAGGGCGTTTATTCATTTTAGAGAAAGAGAGAGAGGGAGGGAGGGAGCACAGTGGAAGAAAGAGAGAGGGACAGACAGACAGAGACAGATATATATGTGCCCAACCAGAAACTGAAGCCTGGACCTTTCAGTGTATGGGATGATGCTCCAGCCAACGGACCCACACTGGCCTGGGTTTCATTCTGTAAGTTATATGGCAGTATAAAGAGCCGAGAAGAGTCCAAACACTATTGAAGAAGAAGGTATGATGATTTGTTCTGGCAGATATTTTCAGAAAGCTACGGTAATTAAAATAGTGGTATTGGTACAAAGAACAGCCAAAATAGCCTAAAAATAGACCCATGTGTATATAGACTCTTGATTTACAACAAAGGACTTTGGGGGAATAGGGAAAAAAACATTTCTAAATAAATGGTGCTGGAAAAACTTGGCATGTGTGCAAATATAAAGACTACTCCCTACATTAAACCACATAAAATTGTCTACAGGTGGTCTATATACTTAATATGAAAGACAAAACAATTAAGCTTTTTAGAAACATTATCTTCATAACATCAGGTAGTAAAAAAAAGTCTTAAACATGACTCAAAATGTACTAGCCTAAAGGAAAAGGCTGATAAAATTTAGACTACATTAAAATTAAGAACTCCTGGTT